CCCCCGTCTCTCCCTCGGCAGGGCTGTTTCTCCTTCCCGAGGAGCCGCATTCCGCCGCACCTGTGGATTTCCTGCAGGAGCTGCCCAGCTGCCAGCCGGCGCGGAGGCGGCGCGGGGGCACCGGGGAGCGGCGGCCGACCCTGCCCGGGAGCGCTGGCAGCCGCGGGGCCCGGGCGCTGCTGCGGGACAGAGGCGATGGACGCCCCGCCAGGGAGTACCCGCTCAGCATCGCCGAGAAGAGGGCGTTATTAAGGTTCATCTTCACACTTTTCCTCCTTGATAGTTTTGGGGTTTTTTATGACTTCTTCCTAAACACAGCCCAGGTGCGCTGGAAGGCTGAAGCAAAACTGGATTTGGCTGTATCTCTTTCACTCCATGGCATGTGATTCGGACAAGTATGTGCCCGAATGCTCTTGGCTGGCACGAGGGAGTCGCTGACTGGGGGCAGAAGTAGGTTAAATTGGAAGAAATTAGCCAAATCTGGGGATTAACCAATTAACCTGCAGCAATCAAGCACGTTTCTCACTGTTTTCCGGTTTGGTTTGGGGTTTTTTTTTTTGTTTTTTTTCCCTCAGGGTTTTGTGTTTTCAAGGGTCATTGTGGGTTATCTGCATGAACAACCCCCTGCTGCTATGCAACTGCTGCTGCTCTTGAATCTGCTCAGCTGCTCTTACTCAATGCCCTGTGCTCTCTCTGCTATGGCTCAGTAGTTGGAAGAACTCTTSTCAGGATCTTTGCTTCTTTTTATCTTCTCCCTCCGCCCCATTCAGTTTTAAATACTCTTTCCTGTGCGCTGTTCCTGTCCCCCTGGTGGTAACCTCCTAAAGGGAGGGATTGCGAAGACCTTGCTTTGCCCCGCCTGAATTTCTGTGCTTGTTGTCTCATGTCTCACTGCTGGGCTGAAAGCTGCTTTGAGGAGAGGATAGAGGATGTGGRTTTATACTGTCAGAGAACAGCTGCACTTTTAAATCAGGTACATTGTAGWTCTGGTTATGAACAAGGAGAGAGAAGTACAATTAATGTGTCTGGTACTCCACGGAGAACAGGAGTTATTCTRTTGCAAGAGCAGTGGCAAACAACCTGACCCTGGAGTTTAACCCTATAGCCTATACACAAGAAAGAAACACTAGAAGATGTAGGTCACGCTAAAGGAAAATGCTTGATACCTTGAATTTTTATTTGAAGTTGGGTATCTAAAGTTCAGTTCTTCAAGAAAAAGGAACTGGAGGGAGAGGTGGAGTTGCAATGTCCCAAGGCTTGTTTACACATGTTAGCATGTAGAGATTCTGATGGGGCTTCTTGGCACTTCTGCYGATCAGTGATCTGCATTTGTGCAGCAGCTGCCAACACAATGTGCTTGGTATAAATGTCCTGAGAGCTGAACACTCAACTAGTGTAACTCAGATGAATGTGCAGCCCACGCTTCTGTTTAAAATGCACACCAAACATGGGCCAGACAGTTCTGCAGCGTGTCTGGAACACTGCAAACTGCAGCCTGCAGTTTCCACAGAATGAAATCTCTTGAGAAGAGCTCTMTTTGCTCTTAAAGCTGAGATCATCTGGTGCCTGTTTGGTTGTTTGTCTAGGTTTTATTTAGCTTCCTGCCAAACTGCTGATTTTACTTTTAACTGCGAAGAGAGAGGAAACTTAACAACAAAGAGCACACACGGCAGTGGTGTCACAGTGCATCGCTTGGGCACGTGAGTTAGGTGGAGTACACAGCCTTTTAAAACTGAAACCTTGGTCTTGTACCCCAGCATAGTGTCCTCATGGGTACTTACTTAACTGCTGCCCTTCTTCAGTGGCATCAGGGGCTGGAACAGATTTTTCTGCATACAAGTCCATTTTAAAGCTATGTTTCTAGGAAGTTTTGTCTGGCTTTACGGTTTCTTAGAAGAAACAATAAAATGCAAACTCTGAGCCACTCAAAATTCTCCTTGATGCTGTTACTGGCCATGCAGAAAATTTTAAAATGCAAATGTATTCATATAGTGTGACAATCTGTAAGTGTGAAGTAGTTAAAAATGACAGACAGTGGCACATTCTCAGTGTTTGCAGCTTGTTGTTAGAACAGTGCTCCCCCAGAGGTGTTTCTCAAATTCATTGAATTGACACTTTCAGGCAGATTTTTCAAAAGGCTCTTGTTGTCAATTGGATTTTCTCCAAGAGAGGTGAKTGTTTTTCATGAGAGAGCTTGCCCTATTTGAATTAAGTTGATGTTCTATTGCCAGTAGGATCAGCTGGGGAGGGATTGTGTATGTTACTGTAGCCATCCCCCTGAAGGCTGCAGGCAGACTTCATCCTGCTGAGTCCTGATACATGAAAAATTATTTCTTGTGCTCAGTAACTGTATTTTTGGATTCTTAGGGACTTTCAGCAGGCCGATGCCGAACATTTATCTAGATGGAAGAGGTGGAAAAGARCTAGCAGTAAATCATTGAAAAAAGCACTCGGTGAAGTCAAGGGCTTGTCATCTTACCTGGTGCTYTGGCGACACGATATTCACAGCATAGAAGGTATTTCTTGTCCGCTGTCCRTTTCTCCTCTGCAAAGTTGCTTCTGTTATTGGCAGCTTTACCTGTGTGAGCATAGTTCCACATATAACTATAGGTGCTTAAGAAGTTAYTCTCTTCCCTTATTATTGCTGAATGTATAATCCATTATATGGTAGAAGGAAATACGCTGCAGAAAATTATTAAAATTGCATTTCAGGTACATTGCTACAAGTCTATGATAGTTAAAACTAGCTTTAACAATATTTCTTCTGTTCAATGTAACTGAAATTATAATCTGCGCTCTCTGTATTTTCAATGATTTTATCATCTTAATTATTGGCACGTGTTTCTTTTGTTCCCAGGGAAATTTGGTACTGGCATTCAGTCCTACTTCTCCTTCCTGCGTTTTCTGGTCCTGCTGAATTTTATAATTTTTATCCTGATGTTCAGTTTTATTACTCTTCCCATCATCATTTCTAAATATGGAATATTCAACAATACCATTGTTAACATTTCTCCAAAGTAYATAGGTAAACATCTTCTCTATGTACAGCTTTTGTAAGATTCCCCTTTTCCATCAACTTCTCCTCCACCTCCCAGAACAAAAGAATATAGCATGTTTGAATGAACATGATCTTGTGATGAAATGGGTATTGCCATTTGAGTGACTTTTCATGCCTTTCTTTTGACAGAAGATAACTGCACAATTTAYGAACCTAGTGGTAATAAGGGACTTGTTTACTTCTATACTTACCTCCAAGATTTGCTCAGTGGCACTGTAAGTAATTAGGTTTGTTTTTTTTTAAATWAAGTTTCTGTGTCTCTCATAACATTTAAAATGTTAAAGAAAAAGTTTACTTGTGGAATGAAACTTTGATAAATTTGAAAAAATGGTAATCTATATGCATCAGTGGGGCACATTGTCTGGGAAGGGGAGTTTTCAAAATTACTTTTCCTGAGTGACCACAAGGCCTGGCTGGCCACGTGCTGCTGCCTGTGCCTCTCCTCCCCAGCTGCYRYCCCTTRTTATTCTGCAGCACACTGCCTATTGTGCTTTCTCTCTAGGGTCCCAGTGTTTGTGTCCTAGAGCTCTTTGATTGGAGAGGAAAGGGATTTTAAGCACACAGTGCCTGCATTACAGTCTGGTAGAAGCAACAGCAGCATTTAGAAACTGCAGACYGTTGCAGCTTACTGGGGGCCCTAATGTTAAATTTATGAAATGATTGCTTAATGCCAGGTTGGATTTAATCAGGCAGTTGTTACTGCTTTTACGAATTCTATTTCAACTTCATTTTCACAGGGAATCCTTGAAGTGACAAGTTTGTTTTATGGCTATTACACAATAGATGCTATATGGATCAGTACCATGAGGTACAACTTGCCACTGGCATACCTGCTGGCTACATTTGCCTACCTTGCCTTAAGTCTCCTCTGGATAATAAAGAGGTAAAGATGTTGATGGAGTTTAGTTACCTGTTGCACAATGTACATTGTATTCCTGCTTGAAAGGAACGTACTGTGTTCTAGAGCTGTTTTATGTGGAAATAGAGAMTCTTTTGCCTGAGGATGCAGTGCCACAGTAGCTTTTGTTGTGCTTGGGAAAGAGCAGTAAAAAAGAGAAAACAATTTGACATGCTTACAGATGTAAAAGTGCTTCAACTATACAGTAGTTGTTGCAGGATGTTCTTTTGGTGTTTTTGGTTGAGTTTTATCTGTGCCATCTCAGTTTCCTTTGCAATGTCGGGGTGAGGTGAGAAGGTGTGACTGTGATGAAGTGCAGGTGGGAATAACCTGTGTCAGTTAGGATCAGCTGCTGACTCACACTCACAGTATCCCAGAGACTCCCGGTACAAAGCAAAGGTGGCAGTTTGCTCACAGAGTGAGTTGTTTAGCCTTTGATCAACCAGGTTGCTTGTCTGTGGTTTTTTCCTGTGGATAAAATACACCTTTTCATAAATGAAATAAAGTTGTCATTTTCTCTAGGTCTGTGGAAGGCTTTAAGCAGAATTTAGTGCATGATGCAGATCCATTTCAGAGTTACTGTAACAAAGTCTTTGCAGGCTGGGACTTCTGTATTACAGATCCAAATGCAGCCCGGCTGAAACATCGCAGTTTGCARTGTGAGCTCCAGGTGAGTAACTTCCATCTTTCTGTGGTTACGGTTTCATACAGTTCAGATAGCTAAAAGGAGAACTGTGTAATTTTGCAGATAAGGGAATAAGGTAAAGAAGGATTGAAGAAGCTTGTTTTGGTGGTGTAGCCCACATCCTCTTGCATGCTTTCTAGGTAGCTGGAGTTGTGGTGCAACGTGAGAAGGATTGGCACGGATGTTAYCCACCCTTCCCCCATCCACTGGGACTGAGGCCAGCCTTTATCTGCTTGTCTTATCTGCCTCTTCCTCACACTGCAGTCCTGCTTCCTGTGTTAGTTCTGTAGTCCAGCAGGAAAAGCTGTCCCAGCTGTGGGCGTAACTCTGCAGGGATCCATTTGAGTGKTCTGGGTTTTAAGTGTGCAATGCAGTAGGCAATAGTTTGGGGAGAAATAAAATTCAGGTGGTGCTCTTTGTACTGTGTGAGAGCATTGTTATAGTAACAAGATACTGAAACATTTTCACCAGGTGTCTGGCACACATGCACATGCAGAATGCTGAGGCAGCTATAGATTTCCCAAATCATCAGGTTCTGAAAAAAGTCTGAAAGGCTATTTCGGTAAAACAAGGATTTTCTTTTTGCTCTCTGTACACTAGGAACAGAGATTTGTGTAGTGAAACAATTACMTTTGAGAAGATGCTTCCACTTCAAACCATAAAGCATTCATTACAGATTTCATAAATTACAGTGAGTGGCTTGCTGCTCTAGTTAAGTTCACAGCCATCTTTTCTCATCATAGAGTCTGAATCTCTTTCACTTACCACACTTTTGCCTCCAGAGCAGACATCTGAGAAGAAAAACTTGCATCTCTTTTTTCTTTTGTAGACGGACTTGCAGGAAGAAAAATTGAAGCAAAAAATAGCTGAGAGGACAATGAAAGAAAAGYTACGCATCTACTCTCTGAGAATATTTATAAATATCATTGTTCTTGCCATTTTATCAGGATTTTTTTACTCCATTTATAAAGTAACTGTCTTCTCTCAAGAAAACTCCAATGTAAGTATCAGAAATGACACTAGGACAGATTCAGTCAAGGCTGGTGGGCAGCACAACACTGAACCRCTTGARGAACAGTTTCACTTACTGAGAGCTYTATGTAGAAGGGCTGATATCTTGACCTTGCCCTAATGAGCTGGTAGAGGAGCTTGTCAGGGTGGTAGGAAAGTCAAGGGAGGTGCTTGSCATCAGTGAGAATAACTTGAGTGTCTGCGCTTGGAATAGGTATGAAACGTGGTGGCCTTGGTGCTGRTTAGCAACAGGCAGACACAAACTTCTGTCAGCTGAACCTCTTTAAACAGAAGCTTTGTGCAAGCACRGAAATACTCTTACCTGGAGGTGGAAGGAGTTGCTGGTGGAAGGAGTAGGACAAAGCAAGGGTGTGTAGCAGCAAACTGCAGAGATAGCAGTGATCAGGCTTGTATAAAGAATAGACATTTGTTTTCCATGAAACTTGCTCGTCTAGAGGTATTCAGAATCAGACCTGGGTTTGCCATTCATATCACACCTGGTGTTGATTCTTATTGCCCAGTGCAAATGTAGATGGAGGGTGAAGACAGAGTAAAAGATGCTGCCTGAATCCTGGACAAGGGAGGCTGCTGTGTAGCACTATATTAGGAAGGTGTGTTTCTCTAAGTATTATTTTTCCCTCATCTCTTCTTGTGCAGGACGTCGACAATGCAAACTTCCAGGCTAATCTCTTAGTGCAGTATTTGCCTTCCATGGTGATCACRCTGGCCAACTTCATCGGTCCTCTGATCTTCTCATTTCTGATCAGATTTGAAGACTATACACCAGCCTTTGAAATCAAGATGACACTCTTGAGGTAAAGATGTTTTTATTGTGGCCTTGGATGTTTCAACAACTTGTTCWTGGTAGGCTGTATGTATTGTAAATATTGAAACATAAAGAAGCAGAGAAGTTGGCACTGGAAACCGAGGAGGCATTGTTTGGTCAATGTTTAGTTGGAAACTTTTAAGTCTGGGAACCATCTGCTTTGATGACAATGCAGTGCAATCGTCTCAGTGTTCAAGTTTTTCTCTTAGTCCCATTTAGCTGCGTGGTCTGGACATCTTCAACCTGAATAAATGATCAGTAGAGAACTTGTGGCTGCGGAGCTGTGGATTCACTGCTTTGTGTGCAGCAATTCCCTGAATGAGCAAATGTRTGTGTGCAGCAGTGGCTGAAGCACAGCTTTGCTCAAAGCAGAAGTTAAAAGTTCTGGGGTAAAAGATACTTCAGTGTAAGAGCTGGTGTTTGGCAGCTTAGGGCAGTAAGATCTGGGTTGAAGCACCTGAACTCTGCAAGTCCATGCTTTGTATTTCTGATTTGGCCAAGTGTCTCAGAAGGCCTGAAGCTACATGAAATGGAAATACACACAGAACTGTACCTGAGAGAATTGCAACCCATTGCAGCATCAAGATCTGCAACTGAAACAACTGATCTAGAGCCGTTCTGAGAAAAGAAGCAAGGAGGGACTGTAGCCTAAAGCTGGGAAGGTGAAAGGCAATTTTAGCCTACTCTTAAGGAAAGAAATGTGTTTGTTATCTAGCTGGCTTCTCTGTTAAAGCTCTGCCTGACCYGTTTTTTTTCAAGGCTTCCTTGGACTCCTCTGCAAGGGGAGCCAAGTGTTAACATGGCTCTTTTTTGGCAAGTTTGGAATTAGGTTTTGCCTTTCTTCCAGGTGTGTCTTCCTGCGTTTGGCCAATATTGGCGTTCTCCTGTTCTCGCTGTGGAGTCAGATCTCTGACTGTGGCTCTGACAAGTGTAAGCCCTGTGGATACAATTACAAACTCTATCCTGTAAGCAGATTTATCTCCATCTTCAATCTTCTGAGCTTGTGAACAGAGATTTGTTTGCCATGAGAGTTGCTTGTCTAGCAGGGTATTCAGTATCAGCCCTGGGATTGCCGTTCATGTTATACCTGGTGTTGATTCCCACTGCTTAGTGCAAACCACTACAGTTGTTACATATCTATCTCTCTTTGTCTAGATCTCTGATTACAATTAGTCCAGTGGCAGATGAACTCTTAGCACAGATCTTCTGTCCACCAAGAGGATTGTTTGGGGCAGCTGTGTTTTGGAGACATGGTGCCATTGCCGTGTACTCCGATAAGGCTTTTCCCCAAAAGAAAAAAAAAACAGCAAACAAAAAAACCTATCCACCAAAACCAAACAAAGCACACACAAAAAACAAAGCCCCCAAAACTAAAACAAACAAAAAAAAAAAAAAAAGTGAAAAGCTTGGAATGGGAACTCTGAAACACTTGAATATTTTAGAAGTTGAAATTAATACAATTTGAACTTAACTGAGACATTTGTTGCTTTAGTGATAGACAGATTTTTCACTTGTTTATTTGGACTACTAATCTTGTTTTTCCTGACTTGTTTTTATAGTGCTGGGAATCTGATGTTGGGCAAGAAATGTACAAACTGATGATATTTGATTTTATTGTGATTCTTACTGTGCCCCTGTTTGTGGACTTCCCCAGAATGTACGTATCTCTGCTTTGTGAGCATATTTTTRCAAATGACGTGTGAAACATATTTTCTGTTTTCTGCTTTAAATTCCCCATATTTCTAACCACAATACTAGTTTTAAAACAAAGCATAAASATATTTCTGGTGTTTTGAGCATCTGTTTGCCATTCAGATGGCTGTATAGTTTTTGATATTGAGAGCTTTTTTCTTCAGCCATTTTCTGTTATATTGCCTAATGCTTAAATGTTGAATTCTGTGTGTTCCAAATGTGTTAGAATGCATCTAAACACTACAACTTCAATATAGGACTAATTCTATTCTTTGATTTTAGGTTGTTAGTTACTCATTGCTCTTGCAAGCTAGTTCAGTGGTTTGGCCTGCAGGAATTTGGAATTTCTGACAGTGTCCTGGAAATCATTTATGGGCAGACCATTTGCTGGATTGGAACCTTCTTTGCACCACTTCTCCCTGCAATAGCAACTATAAAATACTTTGTCATCTTTTACATTAAAAAGGTAATGAAGGTGTGTGGTTGATACAGGACTAAGCACATCTCTGTGGTTTTTGTAATACAGGAATATAGGTATGCAGTGTTCTAAAATCACTGACACTTTCTGTCTAGCAAGAGGGGATGTGTCCAGTGCAGATGTGGCAGAACAAGGCAATGGCAGTGCCATGGATCGTMCACCAAATGGCTGTGTCAGCTGACTCTGTGCAAGCGTGTGAGATCCTCTGGATGCAATTCTTACACAAACTAGGAGACACTGACTTATGCCAAAATATGAGGCATTCTTGCCTTAGCCCTTTTCAGCCCATGCACATCAAAGGAGGTGGTTGTGTGGTAGCTGGTGTCATGTTTGAGAATGGAAATTCAGTTGCTGGGGAAGTGTATTTGGATGGAGCTCTATACAGATGTWCTGGTAACAGTCTTACCTTCCCTCTTCAGATCTGTTTGAAACACACACGTAAACCTGCAGCTAGGCCTATCAGGGCTTCAAGTTCCAACTTTTTCTTCTTGTTGGTGCTGTTGATTGGGCTCATCTTGGCTTTTATCCCTGTGGGAGTCAGCATAGCACGGTAAGTGGCAATTTAGGTTCTGGGAAGTTGAGACTTGTKCTAAGGTTGTCAGTTCTGTAAAAACAGATGCACAACTTTAGAATTATTAATGGAATTAAGTATATAGAGTCAAATTATAGCTTAGTTCATATACACCAAACCTACAGTTTTAAAGACGTAAGACACTTCTATTACATCACCAAATTGGTGCCAGGCTTGTTTTGAATTATTTTATCTTTGCATTTTGGTGTAACATGTTCTTTCTCTTCTGTCTCCTGTACAGTATCCCCTCTTCCAAAGCATGTGGGCCATTCAGGAATTTTAACACTTCGTGGGAAGTTATTCCAGCTACAATAGTTACATTTCCAACAGGTCTGCAGCAGGTCCTTTTTGGCATGGCATCAGAAGCCTTTGCAGTGCCTTTTTTTATGATCATTTGGTGAGTACTGTGGAGACTTGATTCACTTACGCAGCTTTATCMCTTTCCTCACTTGCTGAACTCATACCAAGCATCTGTTAGACCAGATTTTCCATTTGCAGTCAAAAGCATAAAAACCCATATGAATTTTCAGCCCTTACAACTTTGCCCATGTGATCAAACTCATTAACTTTGTCCCATTTCCTCTTGCGTGTCCCATATTCAACCGTGTCTTTCTCAAAAATGTTAACTGTGAACCCCCTGCAAATTAGTACTGTAAGTCCTGTGATCACAGTTCCTATCCACAAACCTTGGTTTGAAAAAAATCCAAACTCTCAAAACAGTCATTCTATAAGATAAAATTCAGTGTAGATTCATAGAACTTTTAAGGTTGGATGTCACCTGTAGAGAGAGTTTAACCTAACTCTCCTAATCAAAACAGGGTCAAGTGGAGTAGAAACCATATTTAGTTAGATTTTGAGTATCTCCAAAGATACGCAGACTTTATAATCTCTCTGGGCAGTCTTTTCCAGAGTTTGTCCAGTCTTCCAAGAAAAAAGTTTTTTTTCTGAAGTTTAAATGGATTTTTTTGCATTTTAGTTTATCTGAATTGCAAATTTTGAGCCTTAYTACCTGATGCTTTCTAAAACTTCTATGCCTGAAAACACATGTGGTTTATTTTGGACTCCACCCAGCCCTTTCTTTTGTAGCACTTATTTATGTGTTCTCCTAAATGGAACTTGTTTTTATGTTCATAGGAAATCTCAAGTCCTCTCTTTTTGATTTGTTATTTACAGCATCATTATGTTCTATTTTACTGCCTTGGCTAGAGCACACAAACGAGTGGTTGAGCAGCTCAGAGAACAGCTGGTTTTGGTAAGATTTGATCCATTTTACTGTCACAACAAAGAGAACGTTAGGGCTACAGAAATGAGACATGCAGAAGAATATTGGTTTTCGTAGTCTCCTGGATATTTAGTGTTTGCAACAGGCAGTGAAGAATGTTTTTCAAATTACACAGGAAAAACAACCAAACCATTATGGTATTTCTTCATAGATTTGATTTTCTTGGGTACCAGCTGAAACTGCACCAAGGTCTGGTTCTATCAGGCAGCACATAATGCATGAGAGATGCCTCTGAGAAGCTGTGTSCCTGGTTTTCCTCTGTTGCCTTGCTTCAATCCCCTCATCTGCATGGCTTTTTTTCTGCCAAACAMGAACCTGAACCTTGTGTTTCCTGTCCTCTCCACTGTCTTGCACAACCTTCATTTCTRTTTCCTTCTCTGCCCTAACAGACACGTGCCCAACTCCCTACCCTTCCCTTCAGGCTTCTATTTCTGCTGCATCTTYTCCAGTCTTGTTCTTCAGTGCAGGTCCAGCCCAGCTTGAGCAGGTCCTGAAAGCAGAACGAGTCACCACTAACCAGCCCTTTGGAGAAGAGGGCCAGTGCTCTCTGGCCATCTGAAGCCACTGCCASATTTGGCAGGGTTCCTGTGCTGTGATCTGACAGACTGCTGGAGTCAGAGCTAAGCCTTACTAGTGAGACTTGTCACTTATGAAATAGCCCATTTTTTGGTGCTTTTAACAAGCTGTCCACAGAAAACATTACTGGGGAAAGATTTYTGAGGGGTGAGGAATTTAGCCTTCCTGCTTTTTGAAGGGTTCTTAAACCAGCTGTGAATTCTGAAAATCCTTGCATGCTTTTTATTTTTGTTTGCTCATTCTTGTTCAAGTTCTTGGAAGCATGGTTTCACATTTCAAGGTGTGTGAGATGTTTTTACTAGGCTCRGTGCAGAAATGTTAATGTGTGACCYAGCATGAGATAAATGAAGTCAAGACTATTGTAAACTTGRAATTGTTCAGGTAGTTGAGAGTGTGCTGGGGGAATACAATGTGGTGAGTGCACTTATTCCTAATAAAGAAAAAGCTGTTCATAGATGTCTTGTGTGAACACCRTTCGTGTCAAATGTTACTCTGTCTTTCCAGGCGAGTCATGACAAGCTGTTCCTAATCAGAAAGATAACAGAAGCTCGGAGGTGTCCTTGAAAACCATGTAAGCCAAAAGAACTTGACTTGCTGGAGCTCCTAGAACCACAAGATAACAGCAGAAGCATTTGCAGCTTCTAAAACCTGAGCAGCTGACTGGCACCCTGCCACTGTGATCCATACAACGGGTGCTTGTGGTCTGAGTCTTTCTTGATTAAGCTAGTGGAACTCATTTTCCAAAACTTGGAACTTGAGCAAATCTATACTGTGTTAGAGCTGTTCARAAAAGGATACTTAATGCTGCTACAGTTTTAAGGCTGTTGGGATTTGCTAARTCCCTATTTTTCAGTGAACTTGGGTAAAATATGATGAGAACTGAAACTCTTTTATACTGTTCTTACAAATTATGCTATACGGATCACGAGAGGGGTGAAAGGTATGGTTTTACATGTTTTCAACTCCTTTCATTTGCTTTGTTTTTAAAAGGTATGTATGGAAGTATTTTGTAATAGTGCATAGGAAAAGAATATATGGCATAGGTTTGAAATCAGTTTTCKGAATATTTTAGAGGTGAGGGTTTGGTATTTATTCCGCTCTGAGCACTGGATAACTGGTCACAAATGGTTCAGAACAAGCAAGTGAAAGAGCTCCTGGCACGGGGAGAAGCTGACTGCCACTGGTGCTGGGACACCAGCCCTGCTGATGTGGAGCCGCCTTTTCAAGGCTTTTTTAATGTTTTAAAGCATTATTATTTGTGGTTTATTCTTGTACGAACATGTTGACTACTGTTCTCTATGTTCTAAAATGTGAATATTTGAGAGTAAATTACTGGTTGGCAATACTGTGTGTCAGTACCCCTTAATTTCACATTTCCTCTCTCTTAGGTGAACTGCTGTGTCTCAGAGAATCATAATGTCCCTGTAGGCTACTCACCCATGTCTTTATTTAGCAGTTGTGGTTAAGGATTTTCTGTACAGAACTCCGTTCATTGCTTGAAATCCGGATTAGTGYACTCATAGTTAATGTGAGGCACTGTCCTTTATATAATGTTTTGGGGTGTTTTCTCTCCTCTTTTTCAAGAAATTACCGTTCAATAAATGCTATTTTTTTAATGATAGCGCCTGCTGTTGCTGTGGCTGTGGCACCGTCCGGGCCCGGCTCCGCCCGCCCTCAGCGCTGCGCTGCAGTTCGCGCCGCGGCCGCCAGGG